TAAGGCAAAAGCAACTGAGAAAATCTTTCATTCTCAACAAAGCTCCCCTAGTTATGAGCGGTGCCGTGTTGCTGGTCAGGTTGGCAGGAGCCGCGCCCATAGGTTTCATTGCCGACTGCTCGGGCTGTGTGTGGGTATACAACTTTGAAGGGAAGATAAATTTATGGAACGAGAATTGCTGAAATTGTTTATAAAAGATGGTGGCACAAATTAATACAACAACAAAATAGACGGCGAGATCTAGTCAACAGTTACTGGCGAGAGAAACCCAAGAGTCTTTGGACTTGGGGAATCCCCGGAGACGACAAATACGTCATCTATAATTGGGCTAATCACAGAGGTGTGCTAGGTGCTCGCTGTAGCTTCATGTGTTGGCGTAGCCATATTTGCCTATACTTGATTTGGGAGGACTTCCTCGTAACAAGGGACTACTATGATTTTTGTGAAAAAGGTGAAACCAACTCGTTTAGTTGAATTCGAGTTTCACTGACTGTATATCGCTGTCCCCGTAGAATTGTGCAAATTTAGATGGCCAAATTATGCACACAAAAAAAGCAAAATTATGCAAGTTACTGTAACACCATCCGCGACATGTTTTGCACTTTTTCATCACGAATTTTCATGGTTTTCATGTTTTGTGCACAGAAAAATAGAAAACAGAACATATCAGAAAATTAATTTGTTGTGTATTTGGAAAGAAAATACCCGTCAGTCAGAAAAAAAAAAAAACCAAAAATTATAATTTCTGTAACATAATCCTGCGGGGACAGATATCATTAATGGTTATCTTCCATGGGCTGTGCATCAAGCAGTGGCGAGTTTGTTTGACATTATTTTTTCTGTTTTGGTAGTGAGATACAGCTTTCATTTTGAGAATTTGAGAGCTCAAGTCCTAAAATTGTATTTCTTAAAAATTTTGTTTGTTTTATTTCAGCCATGGCTCCCAAAAGAAATAACATAATTCCCAATGGCCATTTCCACAAGGATTGGCAGCGTATGGTCAAAACATGGTTCAATCAGCCCATGAGAAAGAAGCGCAGGAGGGTGGCTCGTGTTGCCAAGGCTGCTGCTGTTGCCCCCAGACCAGTCGCTGGTCTTCTCAGGCCTGTCGTTCGCTGCCCGACTTTCAAGTACAACACCAAGGTCAGGCTTGGACGCGGATTCACTCTGGATGAGTTGAAGGTAAGTTGTGAACTTTTAAACACTTTTTTTTTTAATTTGATGGAATGTTCATAAATTTTTGTGTGCGTATTGTTTGTTTAGTGTGTTCCAGGGTGACTTCCAGGCCTCATAGAATTTTTTAAAAATTTCTGAGACCCTGGAATTTAATGAAATCTGTTAATTGCTCCGGGAAAGACCCAGGAAACCGGAAAATAATGTTCTCAAACATTTGGACAAACAAATTTGATTAAGTCCGTACATTCACTTTTGCTGGTTGCATTTGTTTTAGCTTTCCCCTGTCCGAGTGTACATTTCACGCTGATAAGCAGCTGTGGCGTTAGGCTGAGGTGTACATGTAATGCCGAGGCTTGTTCGGGAAAATGATCTATTTTCACCATGAATTTTCCGGTGATAGTCCGGTACTGCATTTTTGTGACATGCAGATATGTAGCATGTGCCATCATTGTTTTGTAACAGCATATCTCTTTCCCCCGCCGCCTCTGGGGAAATTGAGACGCCAGGTTGGCAGTTACCCTGGGGTTCTTTTTTTTTCATGTCCTTTGTACTGGTCCATGCTTTTAAAACTTACTCATACCTGTCATTCGGAGCATTTTAGTTAAAAAATCATGTGTCGGTAAAATGTGATGGACTTGTGTCTCTTTGAAGTTAGGTGTTTAGGTCACAGAGAACACCACAGCACGTCCTGTTTTGTCTTCTGGTATAAATACAGGGCAAGGTTTCAAATCGGGATTCACACTGACAGTAACATGCTGTTTGGTAGTTTTCGTTGACAATGATGGTACTGAAGAATAGAAAAATGTTGATCACTTTTTTGTCATCTGGACGAAATTGCTTTTATACTCAGCGCTATCATTACAAAGCAAAAGTCAATGACAAACCTACCTGCACATACGTTCAAGTCGAGGAGAGAGATGAATACGTGCTTTCGCCCGCACTAGTATAAAAAAAATAGCCCATAAATGAATTGGGGTTGTTTCTGTATCATTAGAAATCTACTTATTTCTCACTTTACTGTTGCACTCAGAGAGGGAGAAAGGGAAAAGTATTTTCTCACACTCATTCATGCACGATCATTCCTGTTCAATTTAAAAGTTTTAATTTTTCTTTTACTGCACAGCGCTTTAGCTTTGTTCAGCGTTTGAATTGTGTTCACGGGCGGGACAACCTAAACTCGCACTTCCTCTTTGGTTGTCGATGGTACAATAAGGGCTGGCTTGGCATTGGCTTTACTCTAAGCTCAATCAAGAATCCGGTTGTCTGTTTGGTGGGTTTTTTCAGTATCTTGACTTGATTGTAGAGGAATTGTATGACAACGAATCTCTGCAGGGTTTGGTTGTTGTTTTGTTTGGTTTTTTAGAATGCGTGCAAGAAGTAGCTTGTGGAAGTGTTAATTAGTCACTCACATAATGCTGCTCGAGTACTACTAAAGACGTTTGTTTTGTCTCCAGGAAGCTGCAGAATATTGCTAAATTAACTGTATATTTGTTCTCAACCAGGCTGCCGGAATCAACAAGAAGACTGCCCGCACCATTGGTATCTCTGTCGACTTCCGCAGACGCAACCTGTCTATGGAGTCTCTGCAGCAGAACGTGCAGCGTCTGAAGGAGTACAAGAGCAAGTTGATTGTCTTCCCACGCAAGGAAGGCAAACCCAAGAAGGGAGATGCTACTGTAAGTTTTTTGGGGTTTTTAACAATTGTATTTATTTATGTGTGGGCTGTCGGTTTATTGAGAATAATATTCGCTGTTTTTGATCATGGCAAGATGGTATTTGTGAATAGTTATGAAAGGTCATTTCCTGGTAATATGTAGAAACAGGTCAAGCAGTAACGAATCTTTCTCTTGCTCCTTGTTTCAGAACAGCATTGTGGGTGGTTGGTGGGTGCTCTGGTGTGGTTTGCTTCTTCTTTCCTATCATTCAAACATCTATCGTTTGCCTCCTAGTGTTACTGTCATGATGATCATTCACATTGTCAGTGTCAAAGGAGGCATACAGGAAACAGCGCTTGTCGACCAACATGTCGTGACTTTGTAGACACGGCATATGAAAGTCAAGCGGACATTTGTCTTAAATGCTTCATGGTTATTCTCCAAATGTATCTGTTCAAATCGTGATGTCTTAATGCAAAAACATGTACTGTCAAACCTCTGTATTATTATAATTCAACTGTCATCTATACCATGGCCACTTTCCCTTTCACCCTTTTGTTGGGATTTGCATTGTAAATATTTTTCGTGAGTGGTTGGTGGGTGCTTTTCTGTGGTTTGCTTCTTCTTTTCTATCAAACATCTATCGTCCTTATCTCCCCTACTTCTTTTTTATGTTTGCTACTCTCTTGTAACACCTCTAATCTTCTGGCGCTCATATGACCTTATGCAGTTGCGAGCGCCGTAAAACCTCTACTAAAACTAATTAAAACATCTATCGTCCTGCCACTGACTGTTGTGTCTTTAGGCCATTCCCAAAGGGGGTACATTTCTCGCTCAAGCATAAAATTGTAAATTGGCTGACTCATCATGTCATGCTCATAACTGTGCCTGATTTGCAACAGGGAGCTGCTGCTTTTTCTTTCCTAATCCTTACTACAGTGGAACTCGGATTCAACGAGATGAGATAGATTCCCCTTCTCTTTTTTTTTGTTCTTTAAAGTCAATAAAAAATAACCCGGATTCAACGAGCATTTAAATCAGTGAGCTCGGATTCAACGAGGTCGCTTCCAGGGTGAACAGCCCCCGCAGACGTGGCTTCGCTAATTTTTCTCTCAGAACGAACTTCATCCATTCCCGGAAACCATCATTGCACCTGATCATGAACCATTGGCATTATTCACTTAACCGATTGCATGCGACAAATCAGCGGCCTTTTTCATACCAACACATCCGTTGTTGGCTCGCGCACTTGTCTACTCTGGCATGTGTCGGGGTCGGAGGGGCAGCCTGCACACGTGTGACTGTGTGTGCGTGTGGGGGAAAGGAAGGGGGGGCACTAGCGGTCCGGGCGTTGAACGTCGCAGATAAAAAATGCGTCACACTCTTTTTTTTCCCCTCGGCAACTGATCATTATTACAATGATAAGCTAGTCTTGACGTAGATCTACGTAATGAATTGTGCACTGGTCTATGGAATCAAAAGTTGCCGTATGCTAGGCTCTACACAGCAACACAACTTTTTGGTAAACAATCGAGATGACACAGGCGTGTGCATTTAACAAATCGGCCTTTTTTTTACACAGCTCATAATATGAGGCATTTCAGGCACTACTTGGGACTTCTCTTTATACATTACTTGCTCAGTGCCTGTAATTATCTACACAAAACCTCGTGTTTGCTATAACGAACACTCGGATTCAACAAGATTTTTGGTCAGGCCCGGCGACCTCGTTGAATCCGAGTTCCACTGTATTGTCATTTTCCTCTACTTCTTTTGTATGTTTGTCACTTTTGTGACCCGCTATTTCCGGGGTGCCTTGATAGTCGAAGCAGTTCTTGTGCTGTTGAAGCTAGAGAGGCGAGCAGAGTAAGTCTGATTCCCTGTAAGGACTTCTCTGTTGACACCCACCCCTTGGCGCTCATATGACGTTATGCAGTTGCGAGCGCCGTAAAACCCTCTAGCTACTAAAAAAACTTTTTATCTCCCTTCTTCTTTTTTATGTTTGTTACTCCCTTGTAACACCTATTCTTCTGTAAGTGTGCCTTCAGTGACTCTCCTACCAGCTGTTATTTAGTTACAGTATAATCCTCTTTTATTGACATGTCGACATATTTTCCAATTACGATGTTTTTTCTTCAATATCTTCTCTAAACAATTTCTCTGATCTACTTATATCGACTTTTTTTCTGCCCACTCTGCTTTATTATTGACATGCTTCCTGGGTACCTGGCGAAGCCCACAATCATAAATATGGGGGGGGTTCTTCACGTACCCGTCAAGCAGCCTATATCGACACACCAGGGTTTAATAGGTCATGTAGGGCCTACACAGTGTAGTCTCCAACACAGCACATTGTCTCACCGACATGAGCGTCTCGCGCCCTAGGCATCTCCTCCCTTCCCCCTCCCGATCCCTCACTCCCCTTCCTCATCTTGTCTGTCGCTGTCAAGTGCCACGGTCAGTGAGTCAGTGTCTCGCCTTTCCATTTTCCCTAGCAAGTGGCCATAAACAGGCCTTACTACAAGGATGCTACAACAAAGTTTGCGCTGGTGTGTAGTGTTCGCCTCGTGTTGCTCGTCTTTGGTTCGAACTCCAACACCACACACACAAACACACACACCCACCCTGCCTCTTGTTAGTTTCAAGAATCAAGGGGAGCAGCCAGATTTTTAAAAATTAGTGTCTTTAATGCTGACCTCCCCTTGTTTTTTCCTCTTCGGCTTTATATTAAATTTCATTTATCGGGATCAAATCCACTTCTCAAAGCATGTCGATATGCACGGATTATACTGTACTTTAGCCTTGTCACTGGCTTTGCCCCCTTCCCATGTGTATAATTTGTGGACAGGTAACATTGGACTCACTCTGTCTGACTCTTACTTAAAATTGTAGTTATGCAGCCCGTCAGAGACTATTTTTAGCCTTCTCTTAGTTTAATGCGCATTAAGAGCAAGTGTGGTCTTGTTTTGGTGCACTTTCGCTGAACCGACAACATTTAATAAATTGTTTGTTCTGAAAAATAATAAAAAGTTTATTCTTGGAACATGCTGCTGCAATGGAAATTTTTTTTTTTTTTTGGGGGGGGGGGTAATGTGGTATGTGAAATTTGGGAGATGAGAAAAGGCAAGGGGAAAATTTCTTCACCAGATTTTTCTGGAAGAAACACTCATTGATTGGCTTTTTGTTCTTGCTTCCACAGCCTGAGGAGCTCAAGTTGGCCAAACAATTGCCTGGTGATGTCCTGCCTGTTGAGAATAGGTTCAAGCCAGAGAAGGCACGTGTCCCGACTGAAGATGAGAAGAAGCACAACGCTTTTGTTGCTCTTCGCCAGGCAAGAATCAACGCCAAACTTCTTGGAATGAGGCTGAAGAAGAAGAAGGAGGAACAAGAAAAGGACAAATAAACAGTCTCTTGAAGAATAAATTTTACATTGGGAATTTTTATTGTTTGTGAAGTTTTGTGCTGGTGACTTTGTGTGTTCCTTTATGTGAACTGACGTGTCGATAACGACCTAATGGTGGGTGGCTGGCAGGTGCTCTGGTGTGGTTTGCTTTTTCTTCCTTCCTATCAAACGTCTATCGTCTTTATCTCCCCTCCTTCTTTTTTGTGTTTGTTACTAACGCTAATCTTCGGCGCTTTTATGGCCTCATTGTGTTGCAAATGCCGTAAAACACTAAAACTTTTTTTTTTTATCGACCTAATGGTTCTTCGCATTGGTGGAATTGCCATTGCCTGTAGTGAGATTTGAAAGTAGTAAGGTAGTGTAGCCTGCTCAATTTTTCGAAGATGGCGTTGAATACTGTAAGTAAAATATGTTTGGAGGTGCAATGGTCTCTGCAGAAGTTCAAGGACCCCCCTTTTACTTGCTGTGTAACAAATTTTTCTAATTTACATAATGTGTAAGAACCCGTGTGAGGGTAAGAAATTCATCTCAGAACCCAACTTGGGGTCGGACAATACATTTTTGAGCTGCTGTACCATACTTTTAACTTTGAGTGGGTTTGGTATAGTGAGAGGGTTATGTGTAGAATAGTGGACGACCAAATCTCTACTCAACATGAACACTTGTACAGTGTAATGCCATAATATCAGTTACTGCTCAGAACCGTTTGAGTAGGTGATGCATCAGTTTATTTCATCCTTTAGCAGTTTCTGCTCAGTTTTGTTTCTACTATTGCCTTTGCTTCCTCTCATCATGCGTTGTCTTGTTTTTATTGTATCATGTCTCACTTGTTCTGTGTTGGTTTCATGTTGTGTCCTGCTTGTTTCCTACTGTTTGTCATCATGGTTTCTCTTAGTGGGTGGTTGGCGGGTGCTTTGGTTTGGTCTACTCCTTCTGTCCTATCAAACGTCTATCATCCTAATCTCTCCTCCTTTTGTGTCTGTTACTATCTTGTGACACCTGTCTGGTAGGCGGCTGCTCTGGTGTGGTTTGCTCCTTCTTTCCTATCAAACATCTATCGTCCTTATCTCTCCTTCTTTTTTATGTTTGTTACTTTCTTGTAACTCCTCTAATCTTCTGGCGCTCATATGACCATATGCAGTTGCGAGCGCCGTAAAACTTCTACTAAAACTAAAACTAAAAATAACTCTACTAATCTTCTGGCGCTCATATTATATGACCTTATGCAGTTGCGAGCGCCATAAAAACTCTACTAAAACTAAATCTTCGGCATGTAATGTGCTGCAAGTGCGTCCAACTCTTACTAAAACTACATTAAGCTCTGAATCACTCAAGTCAGTGGAGCCAACACGATGGAGTATGTAGGCATACTAGATATGTATTCACTTTGTGCTGGAGGCCCTGGGAGAACGTTTTGTGTAAGAGTGAGTAGACCATGTACAGGACAGACAAAATGGTCTTTACCATAAATTTACGGTACTTTACCCATACGGTATAACCTTTACCTGCCGCTGGGAGAAACATACACGACTTAAACTTTAAAATGTATAACGTAATATATATGATACGCAATACATACCAAGGTACACTAAAACATGGACTGGCTTGGATAGTAGTATAGCAGAATGTGTAATGGCAGCTCACGACCGTGAAAAACGGAGGGTCACAGAGTCGCACACAATACGCTTACTAAACTTACACTCTTACTCTTAGTGTCCTTGAGAACCATAGAATAGAAACGGGGTACATGGAAGCGGAACCAATAAATAGAAAAGATTGTTAATCCGCAGACAGGAAATCCGAAAAAAGAGGCTAAAAGAGCACCTGGACATGGATGGCTGGTGCCTCTATTTATAAATAAATCATTGATGGTCATGGTCAAGGACTATACACGTCAACCTGTCAAAGTGAGAGATGACATCTCCAGGCCAGGCCAATACTCATGTAGGCTACATCATTTTAGTACGTGTCATGTACTTATGTAGGCTACTTTGTAGGTTCTACACGAGCAATTAGGTTGTTGTTTTTTTATAAGTGTTTTACGGCGCTCGCAACGGCATAAGGTCATATGAGCGCGCGGGACACGTTAAACTTAAACATTTTGTTGATAGGAAATTTTGAATTTTGCCCGGGTGGCAGCTGAAGCCTACTCTTATACTATGATTTTAGACCAGAAGGGATCTTTAACGTACGCACCTTGCACACGGGGCATCCCGAGATTTTTCTCCCTTGTCCGTAAAGGCTAGGTGTAGATAATATTTCCTACCAGAAGATTAGGAGTGTGGCTGAAAGACAGTAGTATGCAGGAGCAAAGGAGTAGCAGTAGAAAGGCTGCAGAAAGAATCAGGAGCCCAGAGGAGCGGGCTGAGGGGGTGGAGGCAGAAGAAAGAGCAGACGACAGAACATTGCAAGAGAGCAGGAAAGGAGACAATTTTAGAGGAGAAACTGTTTTTCCGTTGCTACCCGGATTCGAACCTGGGACCTTTGAATGAGAGGTGAACACCTTAACCTCTAGGCCACGAGAACCTCACAGGTACACTAAATAAGCATGGACTGGCTTGGGTACCGGTATAGCAGAATGTACAACGGCAGCTCGCGACGGTGAAGAATGGAGGGTCAATGTAGGTTCTATACGAGCAATTAGATCTAGCTGAAACTGAAACTGAAACAACCAATGCGTGCAAGTACATGTACATGTACAATGTCATCATAACAAGTGAGAATTGGTCGCTTTATTTAAGGACAAGCGGGCTAACCCAAATTTGGGGGGTTTTCTTCCAGAAATCTTGACCTACACCAAAAGTGGGCATTGCCCTACGTAGGCCTACCACGTGTAGAAGTTTGGTTTCATTGGTGTGTATCTATATTGTTTAGTTATAGAAAACTCTCCTTGTCTTTTACTTTTATTGTTTTAAAGAAACTGAACAAGGGTCTAACAACTTTACCTCCAATTTTCTCAAAACATTTTTTCGGGATACCCCTTTGTGCTCAAAATAAATAAGCGACCAGACCAATTAAATATGAGTGTGTGTGTGTGTGTGAGCGCGCGGTGTGTAGGGCGATCCTCCAAGCCAAGCAAGGACGTGCAAACATGCCGAGTACATGTACTCGGAACGATGACGGAGTTACTGCGGTGCGTGCACTGTACATTTTACTCTCTTACCTGTTCCCGTGGTTTTATGCACCCCGCATAATTTAACAAAATTTGATATTTTTAGCATAATTTCTGATTATTTTCCTTTATCATTCTTTGTTAAAATTAACAGAATCGCATAATTTTACATTTTTGGGCTTAGTAGTTTGCATAATTTCAGGATTTTTCATGCTTAACTCATTCGCCACGTATTATTTTCGGCTTATAGACGAATTTTTTTTCGGAAGGGCGAAATGAGATGATGAGTAGTGGGCAGTTAAAAGGTCTTTGGGGCCACAAATTCAAATAAATACCAACGTATTATATACCAATATTTTCAGTATGGTTTGTAGAATACATCTGTAATGTTTATTTATGTATTTTTCAACTTTGGTTCCTGTACTGTAAGAGGCGATTATGCAACGCAATTTTGAATGGATGCGGATAAAATTTGAAAATAAAATATTACTAATCTTTGGTGAAACTCAAAAAATATGTTTGCACCTAGTCAAATGATACATCAAAATAACCATAAATGAATATAGAACTGGAAAATATTGAAAAGTTTGCTGTTATTTACATACATTCCATGATATTTGTACATTTGGATCATAACATCCGATATTGAAAAATAAAATTAAAATTTTATAATCTTGAAAAAACGATCACAAACAGAAAAAACCCACTCGTATGTTATATGGAAGTATTCAGAATTGCATTTGGAATAAACCTATACATGTCTTGAGTAGCACTTTTGTGTAATTTCATCAAAAAGTGGTGATTTTGGTGAGAAAAAAATATTTTGACAATTTAAATCTAGACCTAGATCTAGCAGTACTAGCACTCAAAATTATTGATTTCTCAATAACTGCATTGGCAATATGAGTCCAATCGTATCAATATTATAACAAAGAGTCAAACATTTCTTTAGTGGGCCAAATAAGGATAGATTTTGTTGTGTAAAATTACTGAGACTGGTGTCCGGGCTATAATTTTGGCATCACGATAAAACAAAATTGATACTAATGATACCCTAGTTTATGTGCTACTGAACACAAATACACGTAGGTACGGTTATTTTGAAGTAGGCCTACCGGTAGCCCGGGTTGGCCCTGACACTCACTGACAGTCAAAGTCGAAGCAGCTCGCCTCCTAAATTACTAAATTGTGCTGAAGTGGATGTAAAGCATGTTACCTGTAATGTACAACAATGTATTATGTATTAATTTTATGCCCGTATTATTGCCGATGGTTTCCATGGTCCAGTGGTTAGACTCTTGAGCTCTTGACCGTAAGGCAGCGGGTTTGAATGGAAAGAATTTTTTTTTAAATTGAGTACCGTACCTGTGCCTCGGTCTTTCTGTTGGAATGTAGATCTATCCCTTTACTAAGCCCGGTTTAGCCGTTACAGGCAGGGTCGCCAGTTTGCCTCCTAAATGATCTAAATTATGTCGAAGGGAGCGTAAAAACACCGATTACTACATAAACTACATTATATAAAATGAATAAACCAGTAGATTCTATGTATCTTGGGGGCACTTTTAAAAAAATCGTTGGATTGGAAAGGGAGACAATTTCCATCAAAATACACCCTTTTAATTTTAAAATGTTGCGTTTCAAATACTTATTCTAATTGAGAGTTAACTTCTCTTAGCCTCAACGGCCTAATGATGTTCTCAGATTGGTAGCGATATTTTAAATTTTAAACCGGTAAATTCAAATAGTGATAATGATACAGGCAATTTTAGCATCCGATTCATCTGATGATTGTCTATTCCTTTGACGTATAAGAAACTAATAGGAATAAGAATCGTTGTTAAGTTTTGGGAGTGACCCTGTTACGAACATACTTTCTTCCTTTCGAAAACTTTGATCTAGATCTAGTAAAAATGTATATTATTGATGTACTACTTTTTCTTTCTGATGATGCTCTTAAAAGTATTTCGACATTGAAATTTATACTATGATATATTAGACATAAATATAAAACACAGTATCATAAAAGTATCATGTTTGTGTGTGTGTGGGGGGTATTTTTGAAAATATGTGGACCAGAAACCATTATTTCAGTGGTCCAGACAATGAGAAATTTCTTCACTAACAGTTTGATTTACAAATTTCACTAAGGTCCTCTGCCCCCACCCCTTCAGCAAAAAGACGAACAAAAGGCGAGACAAATTAGGGCCTACCAGTACGCATAAGAAAATAAAAATTAGATCTACATCTAGCAATCTTTTTCAGCAGTCCCTCTGTGTTGAATAATAAACCTGGGAGCTATCACGACAAGACAAGTCTGATGTGGAGCTGAATGACAAAGCTGAATGTGAAATAGATCTATTCAGATGAAATTGGTATTGATCTAGATCTACGTCTAGGACATCTAGATCTAAGGTGAGGTTTATTTCTGTCTTCTTTTCTCTGGAAATCGGACCCTTTCTAGATCTAGATTCTAGATTTAGATTCTAGATCTAAGTATCCTCACGTGTAGTTCCTGGGGCCCTGTCCAAGAGACAGGGGAGCAAAGAATAGGACCACTGTATCTGTACCGCGCATGTCGTAGAAGACGACTAAGGTCGGTTGGGCAAAGGGTTAGCAGCCCTTTTCCATAAAACAAAACAACAGCTACAAAAACATCAACAGCAAAAGCAACACGACCGCCAGTTCTGGAAGATGAAGGACCTTCATCACCGAAGAGAGGATAGAAAATGGAGTGTAGAATGACGCAGGGTGGTGAAAGCCGAAAGGAAACCCCCAAGCCGAGAAGCCTCCCGTCGACCAAAAGAACTACAGAACCACCAGACTTGGCACCTGGAATAAAACGTTAGAAAGGAAGACCAAATATGACATGGAAGCGAGCGGTACAAGCGGAAATGGAAAAGGCGGGGACATCATGGAAACAGCTAAATCTAGATTAGAAAAGGATGCACAGGACAGCTTCAATGTTGATGGCCTATGCTCCACTGGGAGTCAAAAAGGACAAGAGAGAGAGAGGGAGAGAGAGAGAGATAGATCTAGGCCTATGTGTCTGAGTTACTCGTAAGGTATCGAATAAAGTGGAAAAGGGGGGAGGGGGTGGACAAGTGGTCCAAAACTAATAAACGGGGGTGGGGGAGTTGGAAATGAAAAGGGGGGGGGGGGGAAACCTTCAACCTCATACCCCTGTACCTATAGATCTAGGCCTACTAGATCTAGATCTAGACTCCAGTAACTAGAAGGAACAAATCTGTTTTATTTAACCTTTAGTGAATAAAAGAACAAGAGATCATGACATTTTAGTGATTTTTGTAAATTACTGTGACAACTTTTCCCATTTAGGAACAAACCAGTTTCATAAAAAATAGAGATAGATCTATAATGTTTCACATGATAGTCGGTCGAGCCAAGCTGGAAAATAATAAACCGGGGGTATGGAAGGAACAGAGTCGCGGGGTGTTGAGAGTGCTATTCGATACAATGCTTATGTAAGAAGATGGGGTGCAATGGAACCGCAGGCGAAGTAACACAAAAAGTCGTCTGATTTATTATATTTAAATCTTCTGTACCTACTAGAATCTAGATTCTATGTAAGTACAATCCAGATACTAATTTTGAAAACTAATCATAAACTTTGTCTTCGGAGTTCAAAAAAAAATTATAGATCTAGATCTATAAGCCTATACACTTTTGTTTCGCTTCCAGGAGTGCGCCAGAGCTACGGAAGAAGCACTATTAAAAGCTTCCGAAGAAGTATTATAATTACAACGCAAGCATCAACGTTAGCCGTGATCCAGATTGGACCAGATCGAAAGAAAAATAGAAATGATCTTACATTATTATAATATGCTCACCGTACCCCAGAGAGTGTACCCATGGCCTATTTCTTCAACAGTTTAGTACGGGTGATTATAGGGTGCCACTAGTGTGTCCTGCTTCTTTTCTTTCCTTCTTTTTACTCTGCCTGCGTATCTTACTCTTTTCCTGTGCCAAATGACCGCTAATGTGTCAAAGTTCTTTTCTTTACTCAAACAAACAAAAACAAACAAAAGTTAATGGACAAGTGGACCAAGTGGAAGTAAGGCTCATTCGAAATAATAAATAAACAAGGGTGTACGTGTATTCAGGAGGAAAACCCTGAAAAGAGGTTTAATTTCAATTTCTGTTCAGTGAAGCAACAGCAAAGAACACCAAAAGACGTTTTGGAGACTTTTAGATAGGAAGTAGTTCAACAAGACGGGGAAACTCTTTGGCACGAGAATATTTCAAACATGTGTACCACCATCAGATAGGACTGTGAGAATGAGGAAGCAGAGAAATTCAGTGAAGATGAAGGTAAAGCAAAGAAACAAACAGTCTTGGAATAGAAGATGATAGGCTATCCTAAGAAGGACATTGCGGATGGACAGTAACTTAACCCGAATGAAAAGCACAGTCGGGGAAAAAAAGGGCGGGGGGGGGGGGGGGATCACGCAGTCTGCGTGGCCACAACTTTTTGCGCCGACAGCATGCATACACTTGTGACAGCCTGGCTATACGGCAGCTCCCTCCTTCCCAACCAACACTGCTCAAACTAACAGACGCCCTTTCTCTTCCCGTTACAGCCAACGAAAAATTGTACATTATGTACATGTACTTTATTATGTATTTACAATTGGTCGCTTTTAAGGACAAACGGGCTAACCCGAATTTCGGAGTTTTTCAGAAATCTTCACCTACACCAAAAGTCCCACCTATAGGAGAAGTTTTGTTTCATTGGTGAGTATATTTAATTTGTTTGGTTATAGAGAAAACTCACCTTGTCTTGAAACTGAACAAGGGGCAAAATCTTTACCTTTTGATTTTCTCATAACAGCATTTTTTGGGATAGCCCCCTTGTGCTCAATAGCGATCAATTTACGTGCAAGTCTTTAATTTGCCCTTTTCCAGTGTGCTATTTGTCAATTGGTTCTGTTCTTTATTTCAGAAGCACAAGCATCCTCTGTGCCTCCCGTGAGCTCGTTACTAAGTACTAAGCAAAAACTCATCGACTGTTTTCCATTAAAGGGTGAACGGCTGCTCACAAAGTCGTTTCCTTCCACCATACATGACTTCTAGGAGGACGCTTCGCAGCGGTGCCTCTTTTGGCTCCCCTGAAGAACTTCACAAGCCAAAGCAATCTGTAGTTAGAAGGCAGCAAACCAAGGAAGACCGTATAGACACCCCTGAACAGCATGCAACGTTTGATGATGGCGAAGAGTCCAAAGGTTACAGCGGCTCCATGGAAACTGAGAAATCCGGTGAGAGTGGTGCACTACAGTTTGATGACGACAAGGAAAATATGCCAGGAGATTCCTTGAGCATAACCTCATGTACATCCAGTGTGCTTCCAAATCTATGCGATCCTGTCGCTGAACCCGCGTTATCCGGAGCTAGTACTGTCCGCACTGGGGTCGGCGAGAAGAGCGACATTCTCGTGTCCTTGCTGGGAGGTAAACACATTGGCGGTGGGGACTGGGGCAAGAATGGGAATGCCGGGGCTTCTTCTGCTGCCAGAACAACGTGTGACGGAACCAAGACCAGCGCTGACGACAGAGATGTCAGTTCAAGGCACGGGAAGGACGGGCAGTCTCAATCTGTTGTGCGGACACGCAAACTGAACGCAGACGTGCTGAGCGCGCGAGAATGCTCCACCACTGTGCCCCGCCCTGACGTGTGTTTCTTCTCTAACGGAGACCATCAGAGTAGATCTAGTTCTGCCAACATGCTGAAGATGTCGGAGATACCGGGTGAAGCGTTTCTCGTGTCGCTGTCCAACGACGAGACGAAAGAGCTGAATATGGTGAAAACCACTTCTGGTACTATGCGAGTTGGTTCTGGCTTGCATAAATTCATGCCTCAGAGTTATAGTTTTCAAGAGCCCTTCTCAAAACATGCCTCCCAGGGCGGGGGCAAAAGCAAGGGGCAAGGGGATAAATGGTGTTCTAATGTGGGTAAATGTAGAAATGATGGGTTTGATGCTGGCTTCTCAAATTTAGATAACTGTTTGTTGTCGCATTCCGATAAAGTAGACAGACACAATAAACGCAGTAGTGTCGAGGAAAGGGCTTCTCGAACTCCACCTCCTTGCTCCGAATCCTTTGTTGGGGGCTCCGCTAAAAGTGGAGGGAATATTTTTGATAATGTATCAGCATATCGCAACACTTGTGATCTGATGCCCCCCACTTTGGTTGACTGTCTTAGCTCTAAACCAATAGCTGATAAATTAGGCCCTACTCACGGAGATTTTATCCCCACTGATAAGGACGCGTCAAGCAACATCCAGCGAGTGTCCCAGTATCCTTTGATGGAGGGGATTCTGACGCATCAGTCTTATGAGTCGAGTATCCCAAGAGATGGTCATGACCGTCTGGATCCACCCGAATCGGGGGACGGCATTGCTCGTCCTCCTAGAAAAGCCATAAGTCTGCTGAAAGCCCCGTCTACGCCCGCCACGCCGTCGTCCCCCATGCTGGACTCTGACTGCCGCTTTGACTCTTGCACAATCATCAAGAGAAGCGCACGTCTTCGTTGTCGGACGGAAGCTAAGCCCGCCTGCACAGTAGTCACGCAGCAGCCCGTTATCTCAACGATGAAGCCAGCTTCCTCTTTCAAAAGCAAGCCCACCACTCCGTCAACGGGAGCCAAAAAGAAGAAAACCCATACCTCTGGGACATCTGCGAAAGGGAACAAGAAAAAGAAGGTGAAAAAGCGCGGAGATAACAAAAAAGGCGGACGTGGAAAATCGAAGGACGTGGCCAGGCCGAAACATGTCATGTCCAGAGAGGTGATGGACGGCATTGTCCAGTCAATAGAGGAGACAGTGTCTCGGGTTTCTCAGGAGCAGTCTCAACTATCGCCAGAGGGCGGTACTTCAAACAGTGTGTCGGGTATAAGCGACGAAGTCGGTCAGCAAGATTGTCTTTCTGGCATGGAGCCACCAACAGAATCATTTTTGCCACATGCAAACTCCGAGTCTCGTTTTGGAGACAGTGCCGGGACGTGCCTTGTTGACGTCAGCAGCAAGGAGCCGTGCAAAATCATCAACAAGAGCAAGACAACTAAAAAGTCCAAGACCAAACATTCGGCTACAAAGAAATTTCAAAAGTCCACCAAGTCGTCGTCAAAGGGTAGTAGTTTACATTCTTCCAAGTTTTCCAAAGCCAAGAAAAGCAAAAGCAAAGAGCTGGAGCTTCCAGAGTTGGTGGAGCTGAGTACTCCGGACGACTGCCAGCAGAGCGAAGGAGGGGAACGGTTCGTGTCCTCCGCGGAGACCAGGCCCACACAAAGCAAGAGGTTCCGGAAAAAGACCCGGAAGGCGGAGGAAGCTCTCGGCAATGATGACGTGTTCTGTGACGACGACTATCCCACCAAGAAGTCCAAGGCAAAGAAAAGGTAATATCAGTGTCTGTTTGGTGTTAGTATTTGAGCACTTAATCGGTTGCTTGCACTGTATGCTTCCCGGGAAGCTGAGAAAGTTTCTGAGTGTTCTATCTATGGTCTGCTGGGGTAATAATATAGTGAAAAGTGCATAGATCTAGAGCTTGCTGTTGAGCAGGGGTATGCGCCATACAAATGTTATTTATTATTATTAATGGTTTTACTTGTTTCTTCCCAGGACTTCTTGAAAGATGATAAGTGGATTTTTATTCAAATGACATCAAATTTTGCTAAATTATGCGGGGTGCATAAAACCCTGGGGACAGTATAGTGTAAAGCGCATAGAGCTTGCTGTTGAGCTGGGGTATGCGCTGTACAAATTATATTTACTATTAATTATTATTATAAATGGTTTTACTTGTTTCTGTCCATGACTCCTTGAAAGATGAAAAGTGGATTTTTATCCAATGACATCAAATTTTCTGAAAACACCGTCTACGTCAGCAACGCCATCGTCGTCCTTGCTGGACTCTTTGACTGTCGGTTCCACTCTTGCACAATCACCCCCCCCCCCTTCTCTCTCTCTCCCTCTGTATAAGTTTTTTTTCTCTCCTCAAAATTTCGTTTTAGATTATATTTCAATTGTTTATTATCATATCCTCAATACCTGTACCTTGCACTTGTTGGATATTTTAATTGTTTATTTTCATATCCTCAATACATATACCTTGCACTTGTCCAGGTGTATTGGCTCCAGTTTTGAGAGAGGTTATTCTGGGTCGCGGAGATCTCCCCCCCCCTCTC